GGGGGGGGGCGGACAAACGCAGGCAGAGGCTTCCCGCGCTCCCCCAACTTCGAGGCTGGCCCTCGGCCCCTCCGCTGCGGCCGGCCACCCCCGACCAGGGCGCTTTCCCTCTCACAGCAGCACCTCCGCCGGCGCGGGCGTTTCACACCCAGGGCCCCTTCTAGATGATAATCCATTATTTTTTAAATGAAGGCTAATTATCTGGTTCTGTGCGCACGTAGGTCTCCCAAGTATGGCTCTCGGCCCGGAATCCCATCCAGTGCGTCTGTAACTGCTTGGCGGCCCCTGACTGGGACCCTGAGCACAGCACCAAGCAATTTCTTTTCTTGTTTTTAGTAATTTCTAGTGGAGTGCTGTGGGTTTACAGTGTTGCATCAGTTCAGGTGTACACAGATGTGAATCAGTTACACATAAACATATACCCACTCTTCCTTAGATTTCTTCTCCCGTGGGGAATCACAGATTATTGAGGACGGTTTCCTGTGCTTATCTGATACACAGCAGTGTCAACCTCAACTCCCAGTTTATGCCACCCACCTCTTTCTCTCCTGGAAGCATAAGTTTGTCTTCCATATCTGAAACTATTTCTGTTTCAGCACTAGGCAGGTTCATTTCGCCAGTGTGGACCCAATAGTCTACGGTTCCAGAAACATTCTGGGACCTACTGTCTTTGAACTTCAAGGCTGAAGTCATGGTCTCAAGGCTGAAGTCATGGTCTCCCTCTTAGAGATGAAGCAAGCCAGGTTCAGAGGGAAACTCTGTGACCTGTGCCCAAGGCCACACACGGGGCAGAAGTGAGACAGGCGGCTAAGCCCCGCGTTCCTTCTCGACTCCCACGTTTCCAGGGTACCCTACTCTGAGCTGCTCAGAGGATGCACCATGGACCACACACCTGCTGGTCCTCAGACACCGGAGCCCATGTGAAGTCCTCAGTGTCGCCCTGTGAGGGGGGGCTTCTAGGCCCGCGCTGTGGACAAGGAAATGGAGAGTGAGGTAAAGTCATGTCCAAGGTCACGCAGTAGGGCCTGAAATGTGAACTCAGAGGACTCTCGCCCACCACCCCCTCCAGCCTCCTCTCGTCGAGAAATGGCCTATTTCCCCAGGAAGACTCAGGTAATGGTTTTGGTTTTCCGGTACATAAATTACACTCTCATTCAAACAGATGTGGATTTGGGCTCCTTGTAACTTACTTGGGGCTCCTTCTATATCACTAAAAATCTATTCCTATGCACATCTCTGAGAGCCCTGGAAATGCCCTATGTGAAAAATCGCCAATTCCCTCCACCCAGCTGTCAAGAAGTGGTCAGGCTACAATTTCACTACTACTGGTCTTCTAGCAGTTAATCATCTCGGTTTTTTCTAGTTCATTCAGCCAGTCAATAACCACATCACTTAGGATCTATTCACAGTGACAAACACATTACCAAATAATCACACAATTAAAAGTCAAGATAAAAGCACCAAGAAGAAAAAATAAGTACAGAGGGGGTTCTGAAAATTTAGAACGGGAAGGCTGAATAGGGTTGTAAATGTGATGCAAGGAATCTGATATTTGCAGGAAGAGCTGGGAGTTCACTTGAAGGTGAGGGAAGAGGAGCTTTCAGTCCTGGTGAACAGTACATGCAAAGGCCCTGAGGCAGAAGGGAACCTAGGATGCATGGCCCTGAAAAGGGGCCAGAGACAGCAATGGCCAGCCCACACAGGGTCTTTCAGTAAAGAAAAATTAAGGGTCAGTAGGGACAGAATATGGTCAGATCTACACTTTCAATGATCGCTCTACCTGGGTCACCTGAGTGATCTGGGCCAGGACACAGTTCAAAGAACTCTACTCTGGATCCTGCAAAACAAGTTTGTTTGTTTCTTTTTTTTTTTTTTCTCTCCAGGGTGTGATGCCCCTCCCTGGCTAGGAACTACCTCCCTTCTTTTTCTGTTTGTTTGTGAAGTTTAAAGGCCAGATCTTTCATCAGGTCTGAGGCCTGTTCTCTTTCAATAGCTCCAACCACATCTCCCCTCCCCAGGAACGTACTTGTCTCTTTCCAGAGAGATGTCACTTTTGCCAAGGGCCAATCAGTGACAGAAGATAGGGGAATCTGTCCTTTGGGGTTTTCTTACAAAAAAGGCACAGGCAAGCTCAGAAAGGAACACAAATGCTGGTCTGCACCTCCTCACACTCAAGCGCAGTGAAAAAACAAACAAACAAACAAACAAAAATCCCAAAATAACATCAAGATCTCTGGCCTCCCTCCTGGCCACACACACACCTCCCCACCAACCTGGGCCCCGGTCAGTGCGCTCGAGGTCCCGCTGGCCCAGCTCCAAGCTGTCATAACTACTTTCAGTTTCTCCACTACAAGAAGCTGCAGCTCATCCCACCCTGCACCGCTGAGTCCTTAGCACCCACTGCCACTTCCTCCAGGAAGCTCTCCTCCCGACCCCTGCTCCAGTCGGTGAAGGCCCTGCTCGGAGTGCCAACAGCATTCTAGGAAGGCAGATTTTCTGAGATTCGCTGTAACTGGCTCACCCACCACTTGCACACAAAGCCGTGCCCACATCTGGCCAGTAGCCCCAGAAGGACACGTTCTGGGTGTCACTGTCCCAGCGTCTAGCACAATGCCTGGCACCCCGATGGGAATCCCTCTGACACTGAATGAATGAATGAGCAAATAGATATGGAATGTAAAACACTCAAGTTACAAACTTCAGAAAGGGTGCTAATTTCACTCCAAGGACATTTGAAAGGATTAAAAACATGAATGCAGGGCACAGATGAGCAAGGGTTTTAGACAGGACCAAAACTTCAGGCAAGTTAGGGTGGCAGCAGGGTGAGAAGGAACCCGACAAAGAACCAGACCAGAAACACGGAGCGGACAGGCGCCGGGCCGAGCGCCTCTGGTTCCGAACCCGCGGCCGCCGGGTACCTGGGCCCGTTCCCGGCCCGGCACAGATCTGCCTTGCGCCCGCGGCTCCCCCGCCTTTTTCTGACCCATCTACGCGACTGGCAGTCAACCCCCGGGCCCTTCTAAGAAGCACTCTCCCCACTCGATAACTTTTGCACTCCTTCAGAAACACCAGTCATGGAGCACCACTGTCTCCCAGTTTCCGGAATCCGATACCGTCCCGGGTGGCACTGAGGTTGCCCCTCGGGATGCGGCCTGTGACCCGCCCAGCATCACATCACCTGAGAGCAGCCTCAGCCTCGTCCCAGCCCTTCGGACACCGAGTCAGTATGGAAGCGGCTCCCGGGAGACGCCTGTGCGCACTCAAGTCTGAGTGGATGCTACACCAGCCGACAAACCTTTACTGAACCGGGCAGGGTCTACACAGGGCGTGAGCGGCGCGGAGGGGAGCGCACCCAGGAGCCGAGAAGCCCCAGCAGACGCTGAAGCCGCCTGGCCGGGGGACGCGCGCGCGGGGTCACCGACCCCGAGCGCCCGGCCTGGCCGAGTCTGAGGGGGGCGCAAGGCCGGGGGGCGCCCGTCCCCGCCCCGCCGTCACCCGGTCCAAGCCGAGCTGACAACGGCCCCCCGGTGGCGCCGCGTCCGGACGGGCAGCGGGGCCGGGGGTGCTGTTTACAGCCGAGAGCCGGGGCGGCGTCCCAGCGGCACCAGTAACAGCACCGGGCGCCCGGCCGCCCGCCGCGCAGCGCCCCCGCCCCGCTTGCCCCGACTCCGGGGTCGCGGCCCCGCTTCCACCCAGCTCCGCCTAGCGGGGACGAGGGCCGAGGGGGGCGCGCAGGTCCCCGAGAGGGGCTCCCTGGGACCCGCTCCGCTCCCGGAAGGCGCCTCCGGCGAGCTCCTACAGAGCAGCAGCGCCCCAGGGCAGCGCGGGCGCGGAGCAACGCCTGTGGGTGGAGGTGGGGGGGAGTCCTCTTGGGGTTGGCGCCCCCCGACGGGGCTCGGCCCGGGACGGCTCTCCGGCTCGGGGGCGGGCGNGCGCCCCAGACCCGCGCCCGCCGGGGGCGAGGCCCGCCGGGGGGTTGGAGGGAGTGGAGAGAGAGGGGGCCCCCGGGCACCTGCCGGCCACCCCCCCTCCAAGCCGTCCCCGCGGGGACACAGGCGGGAGAGACGCGGCCCGTCCGTCCCTCGGCTCCAGTCCACCCTCCCTCGGAGCCGGGCAACTTCCTCCACCCTAGCGGGAGCCCGAGAAAAAAAAAAAAAAAACATTTTTGAAAAGTACCCGTCCACGCTAATCCTTTTCTTTGTTGCTAATTCACCAAAATAAAGGCGTGATGTTTTGCGTGTCTCTTTGCAGTTCCTTTGCCTTCCCCGGTCTCTCTTTTAATTCAGAAAGCTTCCAGCCTATAAGCGATCTCTGGATCCCATCCGGCAGAGAAAGGGAAAGACGGTTAATCGATATTTTCTAACATTTTTGTTCGAAAGGGCTGGTTGTGGAAAGAACGGTCGTCCAAAAAACGCCGTGCATATGAAAACTAAACGCAGGGGGAGAAGTTGGCTGCTCGGGCTCATCTCTGCAGGTGGGGGTTAGAACCGTACTCCTTTCTAGATCCTTCTTTCCTGTAATGTTTCACAGTTTTCAGAATTGATATCACCAGCATGCGTATTAACCATGAAAACAATTAGGCAGCATCCAAAAGAATGTGTTGATTCTGGCCTCAAACTTAAAAAAAAAAAAAAGAAAAGCTCAACTCAGCGTTTTCAACTTTGTTGAGACTGTTGCAGACTACCGGTCTCATTGTTGATGACAAGGAGGGTGGTGGTTAGTAATTCGGAGAATACGTTTCAGTTTTCTTCATTTGAAAGTTATGCACTTTTGGTCGGCCTTTCCGAAGAGCTTTTGAAAGCCCAGCGCTATATTTCAAGACCCTCCACAAGTGTCCTGCTTTTGTAACGGTCATAATTTTTACATAATATGGGCTATTAATGTCCGTGTTATCAAATTCTTTGCATACTTTATAGCTCTCGCCCAACTCCAGCCAGAACGCGTGCAGGAATGTGCTTTTCCCTGGAATTATTCCCTTTCCCATCCCATTTTCTTCCAGTTAATTTTCTCTAGCCTTTTTCTAGGTTCTCTGTGTTCTTTCTACTTTTAATACAGAGTGATATATAAAAATGAACTCTTTTCTTTCTAAGTTAGTAAATCCAGTGACATTAGACAGCACAAAAGGAAAGGGCCTCTCCCCTCTTGAGCCCCAGCTAAAGGCCTGAAACGGTAGACTTGAGTTCCATCAGGACCATCTCAGCAGGATGTCTTAAAGGCTGCAGGAGCAGAGTCCATGAGCAAAGTCCAACATCAAGATGTCAGCAGATATTGAGAGGGGCTTGGGTTCCACGTGGCGGCATTTGTCAAACTGATAGTCCCCTTGAGATCTGTGCGTTTCACTGGATAAAAATATCCTTCATATATTAAAAAAATTATAAATATTTTTTAAGAAATTTAAAACTCATAAATGTTAAAGTCTAGTTGGTGGTTCTCCTGCTGAAAGTTTAGGGACTCAGCGTCCTGATATACATGGTGTGCTTTAAGAATCATTTTGAAAAAGATGGATTGATCCATCTGTGAAGGGACAAGCAGGCAGATGAACAGATAGTTATATATGATCAAACCAGTAGAGCGGAATGTTGAATCTAGACAGTAGGTATATGGGTGTTCACTGCAATTTTTAAATCTTCTCTGTACGTTTGAAATTTTCATCATAAAATAGTGGGGGGAACCCAGCATCAATATTAACTTGCCCATCATCTCTCCCTCCCGAGCTGTCCCCAGAATGCAGGAGGCAGGCTATTTCCAGGATGTTTTGGAGCAGAAGAAAATAACCTCATTTCGGCCTACCCTGAAAACCATCACTGTCGGAATGGTGAATCGCTTGTGACATCCACTGAACATTATTTTTCATTATTTCCCCCGCTCAAAACGCCCAGATGACATTCTGCCTTAGGCTGAAGGCCCACAGTGTCAAGGCCTGCTTCAAAATGTGTTGTAAGCACCAGGCAGGGACAGTTCAAGGGCAAAGGATCCAGGAGGCTTGTTGCATCTACATAATCAGGCTCTGTGAGCATTTAGGAAGCACCCGGGTGCTGTCCTTTTATGAAGCAAGCACCAAGAAAATAAAAGGCAAGGTTTTCAATTAGAAAGAATTCACAACTGTGGAAGGACGACGATCTAAAATGGAAATCGCACACCTGGGGCCCTGAAAAGAGAGAAATGTTGAACTTAAGAATTGAGCCAGGGATTGGCCAGAAAGGCTGGTCCTGCAAACGGCCCGCCTTGCTTCCTGACCAGAGAGTCTCAGCGGTCCTCCAGCCGACAGCCCCGGTGGACTGCGCCCCGCGCCCCGCTTCCCGCCCCCCCACTACAGCCCCTCCGCCCAACTCACTTGCCCGTCCCCGTAGCCTCCTGGGATCTGCATTTCCTCAAACTGCAGTTCCTAGTCTATTTCCACGTAATCTCAGTTTCTGGTAGTTCTAGCTTGCCTCAGTTTACCTCTGTATTTAGTTTGACACGACTTGCTGAAGGAAGAAAACCACAATTAGGAAAGACAAGGCTCGGAGAAAAGGATCTGAGGGAGCAGGTCTCCAGCTGGAAATGACTTCTGGCTTAAAAATTCTGTAGAGTAGTGTGCAGCTGTCACGACTGACCTTCACACAAGGACAGCAAGTGAAAGTGAAGTGCAGTCGCTCAGGCCTGTCCGACTCTGCGAGCCCGTGGACTGTAGCCCACCAGGCTCCTCCATCCATGGAATTTTCCAGGCACGAGTACTGCGGTGGGGTTGCCATTCCCTTCTCATACAAGGGTAAGAGCATGGGTAAATCTCCAGGGATACTGCTGGATGAACTCTGCACAGGATAATACCATCTATATTAAAACCAAACTCACACTGAAGCTTCCCTGACAGTCCAGTGGTTAAGACTCCATGCCTCCACTGCAGGGGGCACAGGTTCCATCCCAGGTTGAGGAACTAAGACTTCACATGCCTCGAGGCATGGCCAAAAACAAAAGAAACTCATGCTGGCATACAAGCACAATTCTGTGTGTGTCCAATCAGCGCATTTAAAAACGCAAAAGCAAAACAAAGATCTAGAGACATTTGCAGCCAGCTTCTAAACGGAGTTGCCTTTCACCGGACTCCTTTGAGAGTAAAGCTTCTATTTCTCATTTAAAAAACAAAACAAAACACTATTTGTTTTTAATCGAAGGATAATTGTTTTACAATATTGCGCTGGTTTCTGCCATATGTCATCTTTTCCCCATTTTTCTATTCCTTATACTCAGTCTCCAGTCTGTTCATCTTGGTCTCCACGCTGTTGTTTCGTTGGCAAGTCATGCCCAACCCTTCTGTGAGCCCTTGGACTGTCGCCCACCATGCCTCTCTGTCCGTGGGACTTCCCAGCAAGGATGCTGGAGCGGGCTGCCGTCTCCTTCCCAACTCTGTCTCCACTGCTCTCACCTATCGCCCATGCTACGAACAATGTCTTTTCTGCTCTGTCTGCTTTTGCCCTTTCTACCACAATCCCCTCTTCACAGTTGAGTTTTCAAACTGTAAATGCAAGCCTGATCCCACAACCCCCTGCTGGAAACCCCCAGATAGCCTCTCATAACATTGCAAACACACTCTCAACCCCATAACCGGACTGGCAAGGATCACCTCTCTGGGCCCTTCTCCCAAGTGAGTGGTTTAACTCAGAAAGCTTTTTCTGCCTCAGGGCCTTTGCGTTTTCCTTCTGGCCTGACACCCTCCCCCAAACAGCACTGCTAGCCCCTGTTCATCCAGGATCCTTTGGCTGGAGACACCTTTCCATCCGAGAAAGAGGCAGGTTTGGGACCATCAGTCGCTGCTCCAACATCTAGTACCTTTGGGCCAT